GTCTGTCAGGATAAGGGAAAAGAGGAATTTGAAGGAGAGTTCTCAAGGGAATCGGAATGCATTTTTGTGTAGGTCTTTTTGAATAAATATAGGGCTTTCACAGCATTGCCTTCAGTGAGCGCAACATCGGTTACTGGTCAAGTCTTGTATGTATGTCATGTCAAGATTCATGGAACTCTCTGCCCAAGACTCATGTTCAAGTTGCTGTTGGCGAATTCTTTCCTGTGTAATTCTTTTGTGGATTGTGGATCTATGCAACTTATTTTTAAAAGACTTTGGACATTCTCCTCTGTGGGTTTTAAGAACTTTGCATTTGTGGATTTTGCTGTGGAATTAAGAATCAATTCTGCTCTCCTTTATGGATTATATTTACCTATCAGTCGGTTTGGATTGTTTTTAGACTTTCTTACATAATCTTTTACTTGCCATTTTCACCCTTTTTAATACTGCTTGCATTTATTCAATAAACTGTTTATTTGCTAAAGAATTTTGGAGTGTTCGTGGGTTCAGCCTTGGTGTGCAACACTGTCTTTCTCCAAGGATTGGTGTTGTATAGGTTTTTCATGAGAGATGTGGCTCCATCTTCTGTTTAGCCTTCCAAGGAATTTGACGAAGAGTCCCTCATCCCAAGCAGCCCTGCGACAGAGACCTCCGACAACATCAGTCCAGTGGCCAGCCCCGTCCACACAGGGTAGGTGATTTCCTCACATTAGTAGGATTCTGAGGAAGTTCTCTGGTTGTGAGCTTGAAACTCTTGGAAGCCTTTGTTATCCACGCTTTGATCATTAAGGCTTACCATTCTCTCCGCTCCTCTGGCAGGTTTCTTGTAAGTTTCATGGTGGATGCTCGCGGGGGATCAATGCGGGGCAGCAGGCACAACGGCCTCCGGGTCATCATCCCACCCCGGACATGCGCAGCGCCCACGCGCATCACCTGCCGCCTGGTCAAGCCCCAGAAACTTCCGGCGCCGCCCCCTTTGGCTGAGGAGGAAGGACTGGCCAGCAGGATTATCGCACTCGGCCCGGCCGGAGCACAGTTCCTCAGGTAAAGGCTGGTATCCGCACTGGAGTGGCTTGCGGCCAACATCTTCCCTGATAACATGGGTAGATTCCCCTCTAATAGTGGAACTCATATCTGTCATTAATACTTTTTGATTCTCCTCCAGCCCTGTAATTGTGGAAATCCCTCACTTTGCCT